TGGCCTAATATCGAGCTAATTTATAATGACTGGCTGCACCAGCAGAACGCCTAGTGTCTAATAATCATGAGTAAGTTGCTCTAGTGTATGTGTGGCTTGCATTTGAGGTCCTCGCCCTTCTTGTGAAGTAGTAGGTGCAACCGAGATCATACACGCTTGAGTCAAACTCTCAAACACGCTTGAAATATGAGCCAGAGTCTCTTGGACTCCAGGTGTAGCAATGGGTCCCTCCGGTGCCTGAGCTGGTCCTACCGGCTCAACATAATCAGGAATCTGCTCCTTACTTGGAGCTATGGGTGGCTCCATAGTGGCTGCTCAAGCAGGGCTCTTAACTGCAACATGTGCACCACCTCAGCCTCCGCCTCGGTCACGACCTCTCGTGACTCTTACATAAGGTACTGGCACTTTCTCAGCTGCTCCAGAAGAATGTGTCTTCACAATCTATGAGAGAGTAGAAGAGAAATGACTCAAACTTCGGGATAAATAAATCCGCAAAATAGAGAATGAAAGGAAGAGAAGTTTTCTACACAGTCATGTAGCCTCTTGAAGATAAGTACAAATGTCTCTGAACGGGTCCTGAAGACTCCACTAGACTTGCTCATGACCCATAGAACCTTTGAATCTAGTGCTCTGATACCAAATTGTCACGACCTAAAATTTATCAAAGGTCGTGATAGCACCTAACCTCCAAGATTAGGTAAGACAACATGAAACATAGATTTAAACCAACGAAATAAGATATAATATATCTATAATAACATGGATAGTGGAAGTGGAATAAATTCTCAAAAATAATTGATACATGGATACCATAACATCAAATTTTCAAAATCAGGTAGTACGGAGATATGAGCTCTAAAACTAAATATAAGGAGATGTCTCAATAGAACAATACTGCTTGAATGTATAAGTAATAGTATGAAAGATGGTGGGAGGGGACTCCAAGGGTCTACAGGTGCTCATACAGCACTACCTTGAATCCACTATGTTAGCAACAAATCTCACTCATAAGATGTTACTACCAACGCTTGGATTTACACAAAATATGTAGAAGTATAGTATGAGTATGGGATAACATGTACTTAGTAAGTATCAAAACTAACCTCGATGAAGTAGTGACGAGGTTCAACTCATGTGATACTAACTAATCAAAGAACTTGTGCAGTTCATATTAAATTACAACAAGAATATAAAAAAAGATGAAATATCATCAAATATTAGATCAAGATATCAACTTAACATGGGTAATTCAATCTTGACTAACAAGTCATCAATAAATAATATAGGCATAGGGTAGCATGTTAGAGTTTACTAGAGAAGCATTTAGAATGCATAACAAGGCATAAAGGATTCACTTTCAGGGTCAAAGCTTCCACCCTTATACTCAAACTTACCATCATCGAATTCCATATAATAATCAACCAACATTAGTAAATTTTACCATAATCCGCGTGTAAACTATAAAGAGAGAAACATAAGAGGGCAACCTTAGGGGGATGGATCTTAATCCAGCTGCATAGCATAAAGTCATGCAAACAGTAACAATATCATCATAACAGCATGGTAAAGACCTCGTGTCACAACATGATCATTACCACAATAACCGCACGGAAGAGACCTCGTGGAAATGCCAAATCGATCCGCTCAATATGTTCATATGTTCCATATTCATAACAATTTGAGATGCCAATTTATCATAAAAGAGACATGCATTGACAATTAACCAATAAGGTGCACAAGGAAAAAATAATAATAAAGTACGGATGTGTGCTCAAAATGATAAACATGACTACTACAAAATTAATTATAGCAACAATTCCACAATTAACCTATCTGGCCATTTCAGAGATAATAATAATCCTAAATATGATCTCTAGCATGAAACGATAAGCTCAATAGTCAGATAAATAATTAAATATGAATCATAGAAAGCACACAATCCAAACAAGGGATAATAGAAGCCTAAAGTCTAATGCAGTCATAAATCATATATAACAACTCGCATATACACTCGTCACCTCGCACATACATCGCTTCCCACACTTTCCAAGATAAATAAGGTCAAATCCTAAATGATATTTTCTCACACAATATTAGACAATATATTTACCTTAACAAGCCCAAATCAATCTTCCAAAATGGCCTTACCCTTAGAAATCAACTCCAACCGGCTCGAATCTAGTCAAATACAACTCAATAGAATCAAACAAAGCTATAGGTATTAATTCCAAATAATAAACCTTCAATCATTATTCAATTTTTAAAAAAGTCAACAAAAGTCAATCAGGGGCCCACAAATATCAAAGCCCCAGTCAAGGGGTAGATCCCGACTACTCATAACTCCATGATTTCAAATATATGTTTTGTTTTCAAATCCAAGTCCAAATCATAGTTAAAAACCTCAAAATTTACTTTCTTAAATTGTAGGCAAAAATCCCAAATTTCATCCCAAAATTTTATGTTATAGGGGTTAATAATTCATGTAGATTCTTGAAATGATACAAAAAATAAGTATAAGTCTCTTACTGTAAAGTCTTGTATGAATATCTCCAAGCAAAATTGTCTTTTTCTAAGTCTAGGGTTCAAAATACAAGAGAATGAGCTAAAATCCCGAAATTCCAAATTCCAGCGGCAGATGTGGCATTTGAAACCTGAGGCTCGTAAATGCTACGCTGGGATTGCAAATGCAAACTAACCCCTTGCACAATAGACGTTGCAAACACAATATCAACCCTCGCAAATGCGACACTCTAATCGTAAATGCGACAGCAGCTTCGCAATTGTGAAGCTGGCCTTCCCAGTCCTCTATTGCAAATGTGAGTGCAAGTTCGCAAATGTGAACCTTGCATTTGCGAGTAGATCATCGCAAATGCAATGACTACAACACCAACAAATCTCAATCTTACCAAATCAGTCTGAAATCAATCCAAAACTAATCCGAACCTTTCGGCTCTCATTTACAAATTCACACAAGTATATAAGCCTCAAAAGAACTTGCTTATAAGCTCAAAATATCAAAATAACATCAACAATCAATAATTATGCATTAAACCACAAGTTGTACATCTCTTAAATTCAAGAAGTTCTAAGCTTCCAACCAAGCGTCTGATTCATGTCTAACCAATTTCGGATCACAACCAAACTTTGCACACAAGTTCCAAATAACAGAATGAACTTGTTCCAAGTTTCAAAACAACAATCGAAGTCTAATATCATCTAAGTCAACTATGGTCAAACTTAAGAACTCTCAAATTCTACAAATTGTTAACTTTCGGCAAATAAGCTCAAAATTCTCTAGGGACCTTCAAATTCAAATTCGAACATAGGCCTAAGTCCAAAATTACCACATGAACCTGCTGGAACCATCGAATCACCAATCCATGGTCGTTACATAAAAGTCAAACCTTGGTTAATTCTTCCAGTTTAAGGCTTCACAAATGAAACTAAGCGTTCCAATTCACTTCCGAACCCCGTGAAGACCAAACCACCCAGCCCGCAAGTCACAAATCTTCAAATACACATATAGGGAGCATCAAGTAGGGGAATGGGTCTCAAATACTGCTCGGATCGTTACAACTGATTACTTTTAGTTAAGCGATTTGGAGTACGGATATTTAAGTTAATTTTTCCAAAACATATTTACTAACTCTTTAGAGTGGACCTACACTTCTGTGTTAAAAAAACTGATAAATTTTTTAGTGATCGTTTAGTTGGTGGGATAGGCGATTATAATTCCATGATAAATTGAAGGATTGCATAATTCCATGTTTGATATATTTTTAATTTCGGAATTAATTATACCACAATTGTAGTGTTATTTTTATACCATCCTCAGTGGAATTACTAATCTCGGGAGAAATAAAAAAAATTGAGAAGTATTTCCTTCTCCAAAGACCTTTAAAAATCCAAGGCTAAATTTAAAAATAAAAGATTATCCCCAATTATTTAGTGTAAAATTTCACACATATATTTTGTAATATACCTCGTATATTCAATTTCTATCTAATGGACCAAATAAATATCAATAAAAGTATATCCATTAAATAATCTCATTATTATTTTAAGCACCATATTATATTTCAGGATAATTTGGTCCCCCAACCAAACAATCCTTTAGAGCTGGATTATTTCTCTCTCAATTTTAGATCTTTATAATTTATTGGGAATGAACAAAATTATGATATGAAGTACTTCTCCCTTTAATGAATTTTACGTTAATCTAGACTAGCAAGAGCCCAAAATAAATATCGAAGTGAAAAAAAAAACTAAAAAGAAACAATACATACAATCTAGATTTAGGTGTCAATTTTTTTTTTATGGATTCAGGTGGTTATCTATCAGGTGAAATTAAAAAAAAATGAAAGAAAAATCACTTGTCATCCTTCATAAGATGTATACCACGTTTAGGTGGGTAATACATTCCATGAGTCACCCCTCACCTTGGATAAGTTTGCACAAACAGAGGCGGGAACTTCCAACCCCTTTTGACTTTTTAGTACTGTCTTGTCCTTATCTTCCCACTTTTAATTTCTTCGAGTATGCATGTAGAATAATAATTTATTGTTTGGCTGGTAGATGAAAAAATATTTTCTAAGAAATCAAATACTAGTAATACTAATAATAATAATATCAGTAAATCAGGGAGATTTTGATGTAATCTTAAAAGTACTAAAGGTTAATAATAATATTTGGGTGTAAATCGGAGAAAGTAAAAGAAAAATAACTTCCGACTATAAGTGAGGTAAGTTTTTCTCCTTTTTGATAAAAAATATTTTTGTAAAAATTTTCTGAAATTTGTCGTTTGATCTCTCATCATTTACCAGTCTTCATAAAATATGTTAGCAGCCGCCAGCCAATACCGGGTGTCAGTAAATATTTTTCGTGTATACAATTCATCACTCTAATTGTAGGCATATAATAATAAAATAAAAAGAAATTGTAAACATAGGAGTATATTTTTTTATATGAAGCTCATTAATACACTCTGCGCGCCCACTGTTTTATAATTCTGATCCATTTTTGATTCATATCAATCTCTTTGTCCCACCAAACTCAAAACACATTTTCACTCTGCGCTCTTTGCACTGAAGTTTTCTACATTGTCGGCAGTGTCACTTTCACTTCTCTGTCTTCAAATAATTTGAGGAATGGAAATAACCACCACCTGAATTACGAATTTGTACGTGTCTTTCTTGGTCTTGGAATATTAGGTTCATTTTAGAGTTCAACAACTGAAGCTGCTCACACTTTTAGGGATCTGAGTTTTGTTTTTGGTAAAAGAAAAAAAATGGGAAGTTTTGAGGAGAAAGTTGTTGCCGTGATCATGGTGGGAGGACCCACAAAAGGTATGATCTTTATTGAAGCTGAACATTCCAATCTGAATTCTAATGGTTTTGGTGTAGAAAATCAATGAGAACCCTTCAATCATTTGTTTCTTTGTAGAATTTGAAAAGTCTGAATGGAGAAAGCATTGTTCTTTTCTTACATTTTCTCTCATTTTTCAGTTGATATATTCTGTATGATGTCAACCATAATCTTGAATTAACAGGTACACGATTCCGGCCATTGTCATTGAATATCCCAAAGCCACTCTTTCCATTAGCAGGACACCCTATGGTTCATCATCCAATTTCTGCTTGCAAAAGGGTATGCTTTGTTTAGAAGTTTGAAGTAATGCCTAAAATGGCAATAAACTAGAAAGTTTTTGGTGTTACAAATAGACACACTCAAGGTTCTTGAGTCCATTGATAGATGTGGTATACAAGTTTATATGGTGTAACATGATCAGTTAAGATTCGTATAACCGATCCCTACTTGTTTGGGACTGAGGCCTAGTTGTTGTTGAACTGATAACAAGTTTTTTACCATGGCATTTCAGATTCCGAACCTAGCGCAGATCTACCTCGTTGGCTTCTATGAGGAGCGTGAATTTGCATTATATGTTTCCTCAATCTCGAATGAACTTAAAGTTCCTGTCAGGTTATATAATTTTCCTGATGTTTCTTGCATTGAATATTCAATTAAATTTTGGATTTGAAGCTTATTACAGTCTCTATTGAACTTGTTAAAACTAGATATTTGAAGGAGGACAAGCCACATGGTTCAGCTGGGGGACTCTACAACTTCAGGGATCTACTAATGGAAGACAGCCCGGTTCTAATCTTACACTACTCTTTTTTACATTTTTGTGCCTGATAGTTGGCGTGATATTGCTTAAATTGATTTGAGAGACTGATAGTAGAGGTAGTAAGTGGAAAATAACTGCAATTAATAATTAAGACTACTGCCTCATCACATTTGATAATTATTCTTAACACAGTTATATTGTTTCACATGGCAGTCGCATATTTTTTTGCTGAACTGTGATGTCTGCTGCAGTTTTCCACTGCCTGAGATGCTTGGTACTTTGATTTTCTTTTGCTCTCTGAACTTTTCTTACCTCATACGTAGCTTGATACTTTCACTTGTTAAGATTTCCATTTTCCTTACTTTCCATCTTAATCAATGTTGAACTAAGACAGACCACCGTACTGACTTTGAGTTTGATTCTCAAAATATTACCATCTTTTTTTGCTTCAAATTTGCAGAGGCTCATAGAAGATATGGTGGGATGGGTACGATTCTTGTCAGCAAGGTAGGTAGAATTACTGTCAAGCTATCTGTTGTGGCTGCTTTCTATTTCATAGCTTATTGCCATCTTCAACTCATGATTCCTCTTCCAGTTGGAATTCTTATTGGACTTATCCATGGCGCAGGTGTCCGCTGAATCAGCTTATCAATTTGGTGAACTAGTTGCTGATCCTGTTACTAATGAACTGTTGCATTACACAGAGAAACCTGAAACTTTTGTACGTCCACAATCAAATTTTAAATACCAAATGTTATAGGTTTATATATGATGGTTTCTTGTCTACTATGGCAGGTAAGTGACCTCATCAATTGTGGTGTCTATATATTTACCCCGGATATCTTCAATGCTATACAACGAGTATCCACTCAAAGGAAAGACAGAGGTTAGTCTATTAAGCATGGCTACATGTTCTTTTTCTCCTCTCTATGTTATTAGGTCAAAAGGATTAATCCGTTCATCTCATTTAGTGTTCATTTCAACCTTTATAGAATACTGGTATGGTAAACATTCCAAAACTGAACTGTCATGATTGACTAGAAGAATTGTTAACTTGATCTTGCCCTCCAAATTTCTTAGAATTCATTTCAAGTGATAGTAGCTTATGGGGTGATTTTATGAAAGCTTTTTCCTTTTTTTGCAGCTAACTTAAGGCGTTTATCCAGCTCCGAAGCTCTTCAACCACCAAATAGGTATAAGTTTCCTCCTCGTACATTCAGTAGAAGTTTTTGCTGCTATCTAGAGAGTAGAGACCATGCTTTCATTAGCCAATACCATTCAAAGGTTTCACCATAGTACCTCTACAGGGTGTCTACCCAAATATAGGGAAAATTAAGTGCAGGATTCCATTTTTCGTTCTGCTAAGCTCTATGGCATGATTGCATTTTTCGTTATGGTATCAAGTTATGAGCACTTCTTCGACTATTACCACTTATGGAAATTTGCTTGGGATAGTGAATTTGGGGGAGACCTTTATTCATTAGCTGATATTTCCGGCTAGGTTCAAATGTAAAAGGTGCCTTTATTTTAGAAGAGGCTGACGCTAAATTTAAGTAGTTGATTGAATATATAGCGAGCAAGTTTTCTATTAGTCTACAGTGATTTGAGATGCTGAAGAAGGATAATAGTTCAAGTTTGTTATTTGACATAATTACTTTTGTCAGAATGATGGACATTACCATCATTTATTCCCACTTTCCACGAGTCAGATGTTTTTTGAGTGATCTCAAACAAAGTGGAAAAAGGTTATGTTCATTTTATGCTGCACAATGAATTCAAATATGATAATAGAATTTAAGAACAGATCAAACTCTCTAAATGCCATTAAACACAGTGGGAATTCAAATGTGCAGATCTAGCTCAATATAATTTATGAATTCAAAGACACTGCTTCGCCTTCTTACTAGCTCACCATTGTGATTTTATAGAATACTGCTTCAACTTCTTACTCACCATTGTGATTTTATAGAATACTCTTAGGAGTTTTAACTTCTAAATATTACAAATCGACTTGTTTTTCTTTCTAACTTTTTTTGTTGTGGTCTTCAAATTGTCCATTTGGTTCCTTGAAGGATACTAGTACCAAAAGGGGAATAAATGTTCCAATAAAATATAAGATCAATAAAGCATAGTCAATATGCAGTCTTGGAGTCTCCGGCAAGTTTTAGATCTGATACTCATACAAGGTTTTCTCTGACAGGAGTCTCCCAACAGACTTTGTTCGGCTGGATCAAGATATTTTAACCCCTCTTGCAGGGAAGAAGCAGTTGTATACCTATGAAACCATGGATTTCTGGGAACAAATAAAAACACCTGGGTAATCAAATTACATAATGTGCAGTTGATCCCAGCTTACATCTCAAATTTCAAGATTTGAGGTAATGATCATGACGTTCATTTTTTTGTGCAGAATGTCTTTGAAATGCTCGGCTCTGTACCTTGCTCAATACAGATCCACCTCACCACACCTTTTGGCAAGTGGAGATGGCTCAAAGTGTGCATCCATCAGTGGCGATGTTTATATTCATCCATCAGCTAAAGTTCACCCCACTGCAAAGGTAGATATACTCAGATAAATTCATGTCTCAAATATTATAATCATTGTAATATGCCACAAATATTCTGGTGGATTATTTGGTTCCCCACTACAATTTCATTGATGTTAAGAAATATTTACCTCGGATGATGTGTATATCTACCGCTATATGTTTCCATTATGGGTGTCTAACGGGTGGGCCGGGCCGGGCTGGGCTGGATAGGGAAAATTAGTAACCGTACGGGTTGTGGTCCGGGCCGGTTACGGGTTGGGGCTTACCGAGTTTAACGGGTTCGGGTTCATCCGGGTTAAAAATGAACCGTAAGGATTACGGGTACAAGGGGCCGGGCTGGGTTAGTGTTTTTTTTTTGTTTTTTTTTTTTTTTTTTTTGTATTTTGTATAACTATTGTAATTTATATTAATATAAAGTAAAAATAT